GCACTTGCCTTCTCAATCAATTACAAAGGCTCAACAAAAAGCTGCACTCCTCCAAGGAAACTGACCAAACATCTGCGTGAGCCTCTTGATTACCACTGAACACCAGCAATTCACTACAACACAAAATGAAAAAGCCAGCAAACTATACTCCCTGTACAGTTGGGAACATACACAGATTTTAATATATGTATGTATATGTTATAGGGTGGCTATATATAGATATGTTTGTATATATATACACATATATAAGTATATATATACATATATATAAGTATATATATGCAAACATGAATGCAATTGAGACTTTATATGTGCCTTTATAGACCACCATAACCTCCCTCAGACCCTATCTCTAGATATCCAATCCCACTTATCCAGGAGGGAAGCCTGTAACCTTTAAACTTGCTCACACTCCTCTCTGCTCCACAGACATAACCTATTTGTTGTTCTCAAATTGTCTAACTGATCAGCACAATTGAGTTAATCCCAGCAGAATTATATCCAGTGTATGTGTTGCTTGAAAACTGTTGCTCTGTTTCTGATCTGAGAAAAAGCTCATGTGCCTGAATGTTTGCCTGATTTTGAACATCAACCAGTCTGTAGGAAGAATGCTACTTTATCAACACTGATTATAATTAAAGTACTGAGGAAGTATTAGTTAAACATCACAAACCCTGTGAGGGAGGATGCCCACACACACACAAAAAAAAAAATCAAAGTGAGAATTCTCCAAAATAGTCTCTGTACTTGCATGCCTCATTGACTGAGACACAGAGGGCCTACTATTTCATAATACTTAATTGCTCTCAGGGGACAGTACCTATCAATTAAAACCTACGAATACTAACCAGCCTACCCTTCAAAGTATTGCTGAGAAGCAAATCAAACGAGTATGAACTCATTTTTATGGATGAGAAAGCTGACACCAAAAGAAATACCTCAGCCAATGCCACAAGCTGAATTTGGAATATTCCAGGACCCAGGCTCCAGACAACCCAGTTCAGCATCCCGTTCTTCTTTCCGCAGAGTGTGTTGCTTATTGCAATGGCAGCTCCCAAATTACTTCAGTTACAGTTGTTAGCACTTGCAGACCTAAACGTAGGCAGGCACCTGGTGTCTTAATTTAGAAAACACAGACAGTGGCCATCTGTTCTCTTCACTATTTTTAAAGCAACTTCTCCAGACTCAGGTAGGAAATTTAAGGCAGAGATGGGTCTACTTTCTTGGGAGGCATTCACTTGTCCAGACATGAGATGATCTCCAGGCTGACCCTGGTTCATGTGCTGCCTAACTTTCTAAAAACACAAAAAGGAGGCAAAGGTCTGCAGATGAGAGGTTTAATTTCATAAACAGCACATAAATATGTTTGCTCCCTTCAAGAATCCTGTGTTCTTCCAACATGATCTATGTGCTATATGTTGTTTGCAACAACAACTGTTCCAAATGACTTGTGGTAACTCTCACATAGTTTTTAAGTCTTGGCTTAAGAGTAGTAACAATCATATTTGTAAAGTGTATCCTAAAGATACTCCATTTTTCTGAAGCGCTGAGTCTTTGAGGAGAGTTAAATTACATACTGAAAAGCAAACCAATCTCACATTTGCAACTGCAAGTGTAAAAGTTCATTGCTGTACTTCGCTCATTTGATTAGTTTTTCTGAAGTGCTATATGATCTGCTCTTGCTTCTTTCTTGCTTCATGGAATGGATTTCCCCACAAAGAGATTACATTATTCAAATCTTTATATGTATTATCTGCCCGGAATTTAAAAAATCTGACAAACATAGCAAAAATCAAATAATGAGTATATAATAAAATCCTGCATTTCAATTATGCTCAGGAACTGAGCATAAGGGTTGGATGAACAAATCAAAGGCAATTATTTAGCATGCATATTCACTTGTCCCATAAGTGATCTTTTATAAACACATTTCTTTTTGTATCTGTTAAGAACAAATCCAAATTTAACTTTTTATACATTATCTGAAAGGTGTCTTACCACTAATACATATGTAAGTTTTTCTTTGGACCTCTTTAGCCCTTCAAAGAGTTGTATTTTAGCTGCTCTGGAAGTTGTGGTCCTAATTTGCCTGTCAGTTTCCTAATTTTGACAGTCAGACACTTCAGGAGGAAAAACCAGAAGTGTTCTTTATTCACCAAAAGTGTAACTTCAAGGATTCAAAGCTACTCCTAAACATGGGCTGAATTTGACAAAACCAAAATGAAACAGGGAACCGAAGCATTCCGTTTCAGTAGTTATGAACCAGCAAAAAAAATTTTTCTCCTCCTTTTGGAACCATACAAAATTTTAATTAATGGTTAAGAATGATTAAACCTCTAAACTGAAATAAAATATTTCCAAAACTTTATTTCATTTTATTGACAAAGGTTTGCATAAGCGTACTGTCTCCTGTTTCTCTTTGTTGGCTTAAGCGGCAATCAGAAAAAACCCAAAGAGAACTGAGCAAATAATCTAAGAATACTATTTTATTAAGGTAGATCATGAAGAAATATTAATTACAGAACCTCCTAAAAATTCACATCTCTCCACAAGTGTGCATTCTCAGAATTGGCTGATATGTCCTGCCCAAAATTTTATCTGCTCCTAAATGAAAATGCATTAGTAATGCAAAATCAAAAATTAATCTTATTACTTAAATGAAAAGAACACTGATAGGTATTTTACGTTTCTTGCAGTGTGTTCCTAGCACACTATTTTAATCCAAAAAGGATCATTTGTTTCTTATCTAAGGTATTCCCATGGGATAAAAGTAATAATTTCTAATGCTTTACTTCGAATTACAGTATTGTAGTGATCAGCGTCCACAAATCTGGAGCTGCCAGTCAGCAACCAGACTCCTAATTACACATCCCTAGTTCCCACTTGCAGGACAAGCTGGACCACCCTCTCCCTGACCCCTACCCTGTTTTTACAGATAGTCTTCCTCAGTGAGCTAGTCTTCTTCGGTGCAGTGTTCAAAGTCAGTCAGTTTGAATGGAAATACCAGAGTATTTGCTGCTTCACCATCTTCCTTTGTCTTATTCTGATTTCTTGTGCTCTTCAGAGCTCCCTTCTGTGCATTTAAGAAACAGAATTGAAGAAATGGGACTCTGCATCAAACGCAGTCACAGGCTCTTCCTCTTTTTCTCCCTTCACTTTTCCTCCACTATAGAACTGCCATCTGTTTTTTCTAACTGCTAAAAAAAAGCCAACAGGAAACTTACACTGATCAACATTTTGGTATACAATTTGTCCCACACTTGGTTATTTTCACACTGAGACACCCTGAGCAAAGATCAGGCCTCCTGCTGTGGGAGCACTGTAACACACAGTTAGTTGTGTCTCTGTGACGATAACTACGTCTCCAGTCTGGAACAGAGCTGCACTAGCTCATGGTGCGCAGGCACAGGCAGTTGCACCTCCTTACAGCATTGCCTCCCATATTCTCAGTTATAGAAATAAGCTCAGTTGTGTAATAGAACCACTTGTTCTCATAACAAAGAATCCCAAAGTGTATCAGTTACACTGGGAACAACTCAGTTGCGCGAACTGCTTAACCACGCTGCTAACGTAATCAAGGCTGCATTAAGCCAAGCTGTTGCTGCTGTGCAAACTTAACCATATTCTTATGTTCTTCTTGCTTGCCATTTTTCCTACGCTTCTTTAAAAATTCTGTGCTACAATAAGTCTGCCAAAAGTCTAAACTGACATACACCAATAGGTGGATCTAGTATTAATGTGGCCATTGTGAAAATGAATTAATCTCCACAAAGGCAAAAAAAAAAGGCAAATGTTTTTAATTAATATCCTTCTTCCTAGTGCATTTCAGAATAATAATTATAAGACCAGATACTCCTCAAACATTATGGGAATCGTCGGCATAAAGAACTAATAAAAACTAAAAAATTAAGTTCTCTGCATTTCCACAGGAAAGACAGACCACAGGCCACAGCAGTGCAAGCTCCTCACCTGCTCTGCTTCCTCCAATGCACTTGATGCAAATTCAAAACAGCACATACATCCAAATTTCGGTGCCAGTTTAAGCTTTGGCTTACTTTCAAAGATGACAAATTAATGCCAACATTTTACTCATATGGAACCCACTCATGTCTTGCACAGAGACCACCAGTTAATTCAGCATTTAGACATGTTTACGCCTACCCACCCATCATTCTGCTGCTACATATGAACATTCCTGAACTTTATGGAATAATGGATGATTTAACACTGGAACAACCTGAATCAAAACCATTCATGAATAAAAATCATGTCCATGCCTCACAGCTTGCTTGTTACCTCTCAAATTTCTCTTCCCCTCTTAGTAACACAAACTGCTCTACCCTACCCCCCACGTTTCTTTCCGGTTGAAGTCTCTCAATCCATTATTAGCCTTTCCTCTCTAGTCTCTCTTCATGCTTTCCACCATCTATTTTGTAACACACACAAAAATAGCTGTGGTAGAAGTATGACATACATGGAGTTCTGAAAATAAGTGATGTCTCAACTGGTTCTCTTGCTATTTCATAAAGGGAACAAACCTCCATGAAATATTTAATTTTACTTGAGTTTGCATTGGTGTTTTAAGCAGTTTCTGAAAAAGATAAATCATCCAATGGTATTTTTTGAGCAAAACAATGTATTAAAGCAAAATGCAACCACAGAACATTTAAGTGATTCAGAACCTGCTTCTTTTCCATAGTGAAAGAAAAAGACATTTCTGTCTAAAAAGTTTTGCCCAAACCTAAGTCTATACAGACATCACCAGATGAAGGTACAAGCAAGATTTATGAGGATAAGGCATTGCCAACAGATTTCTGTTACCTCTAAAAGCTGTTTTAATAATGAGGAGCAGTAGAAGCTCGGTCACAGAAAATACAAGCTTAGCAGGGTCCTTAATCTAGCACACTTCCCCCACACAAAGAAACTGCACCGAAAAAAACAGAGAAAATCCCAAACATATCCCAAAGTAAAGCAAAGCAAAACAAAACAAAATGACTTACTGTCTTCTTCAACATTTTGACGGCGTAAGGTTTCTGGGTCCCTTTCTGCCTGCATCTGTAGACAATGGATGTAGCCCCACTAAATTAAAAAAAAAAAAAAAAAAAAAAGGAAGAATAGTTGTACATACACCTCTTCGAATATGTCAATAAACAAGGGTTTCCTAGCTGAAACTACATTTTCTACTCCTCCCAGTTTGGGCAAAAAATAACTCATTTTTCCCCACAGCTGCAACAAAAATAGAAACAGTATAAAGACTACTCTCTGTTGAACCAGTGAACTTCAGTGGTTATTCAGCCAACAGAACTTGCAAAGCTCAAAAAGCCTCTTGGTCACACTTCTGGCTCGTGACACATCCTGGAGGTTTCCTCAGGGTAGCAAGGAACCTAATCTGGCCTCAAAGCTGTGACAACATTTCTTGTCTTTGTTAAGGCAACCCATTCGCAACAATTAGTTGCACTGCATTTTTTTACTGTTGATGGCAATAATGGAGAGCGAGACAGAAAAGAAGATAAGAGACAGTTACTGTGCTGTTCACCACTCACCTGCCTAAACAGCAAAATCTGGCACCAGATGGAGTGAGCAGCATTTTTGGTTAATTCAGTGGAAAATGGTGGGGCTTGCTCATGGCAAAACTGAACTGGGGTTAACATCTTCTGGTTGCCTTCAAGGCAAACTCACTTGAATGTGCTAATAACACAAAATCATGGCTTTGCTGGTTGGAAGGCACTTCTCTGAGCAGGAGGTTGGTCTGGACAGTCTCCAGAGGCAGGCTTAGCTGCTAAGGTTACTTGCTGTGTTCTACTTGTCACCACCAAGGAAGGGACCTGTACTCTATGAATTAGCTAAAGAGAGGAAAAACCTCTGGCAAAACCCTAATGGTTACAAAAAATCCACATACCTTTATATTCTACAACATTTCCTTTTAGAGGCCGCTGAGCAATCCAGTGTCAGCCACCATCAAAATGGATGCACTGAAGTGCTACATGGCAGCACCGGATTTAAGGCATTTTTGAAAGCCTCCTGTCCTCAGGAGATTTGTCACCCACTCTTAAGATTAAGCACTTCCAAATAGCTATGGATTTTTAAGCTAGAGGGGACTGCCCTTATCATACATGACTTCCTGAATAACGTGCATCACAGAACTGCACACAGTCACTCCGCAGTGAAAGGATTTCGTATATACCACAGACCAAATTGCACTGCAGATCTCTCTGAACCAGAAGAAACCCATCTCAGTATGCCTATAGGAGATGACCACGAGCTGCAGAATGACTCAAGCAGCTTTCTTTTAAACAGCAGAACAGCGTAGCCATGTCTGACTATATGAATAAAGCTGTGGCACAGGGTTTACTATTCTGGGTGCACTGCGGTACAACACTGCCATGCACACTCTGCACTTCTCCCTCCTCAGCACTGGCACAAGTGCCAGATGACACTCCGAGCAGGCAAGTCCATATTTTTATAAGTACGTGAGTGAGCACAAGAACTGCCACTTGATTGAGAAGATTCATTTCAGAAAGAACTCTTCATCAGGAAAGGTCACCTACAGGAAGGGTTACGCAGCTCAATCATCTGAGGGCCTGTGTGCATCAAACACACATAAAGTAATCTTCACTTCAGCTCAAATGCTAAAATGATTTGTCTCTCATAACAGTGTATTGATAAATGTGCAGGAGTACTGCAAGCCTCAGTGACTCCCAGAATCATTACATGAATTTAATTAGATCTCCTCTCCTTGGCCAAGTCTCAAAAGGCTCTGTTTTGCAAGAAGAAAAAAATACACCCATTAAAAAAAACCCTCACACCTTTTAAGTGCAACCAAAAATGTAAAAAGATAAAATTCTAAGGACCTGCTGTGGTAAGGTTTTTACTTCCAGTATTTCACTACAGCACTGCAATGGGGAAGTCACTGCATAAATTGCAGATCATTTTTGTACCCTGATTCACATATGCAGAGTGCAATATAAACATTAAACTCATTAGTCTACATATGCTCTTACTAAGTAGGCAGCAAACCTTCAAGAAATTATTTTATTTGGTTGAGGGCACAATTACATAAGCTGTGCAGCTGATGATCCAAATAAATAGATTACCACTCCTGTGCACATCTCCAGGTGTTCGCTGCCGTGGTGGCGACGGAAGGCAGTCACTGTCTCTCAGTAACGCTGCTGTCAGTGTTTGCGTTACCGGTTTCTAGCCTGACTCTGCAAAGTCTTCCATGTGAATAAAAACCCACCCACCAGAACATCTCTGACGATTTAACAGAAGTGGCACAGTGACCAGACAGACAGGTACACCAAGAGGGGTAGCACGGCACTACCTTTAGCAGCTCCTTTGACTGCACCCAAAGCTGGAAGAGCAACAGCATAACCCTCGAAAGCGGCACACGACAGCCCAGAGAGACAGGAGTTTATGAGGGCATGTCCAGATGAGCAGTTTGCCATCAGGCTCATTAGTCACCATTCATAACACACAGAGGGCCTAGTTTAGAAATTACTACCTATTGTAAAGATTTCCGACTGCACGTCCCTGGAGTCCTAATTTGGGGAAAAAATGATGACAAGGTATCACAAGACTTAGCAACGCTTTCAGAGAGTTCTCTTTTGGTTTATTTGCCTACACCCAGCTCTGACAGACTTGTTTCCACCAGCCAAGAAAGAGATCACTGAACTAACAGCTAAGAATGCCTTCCTCTTCCATGCCAGAAACCAGCACTGGGACTCAGAAACAGGATGGCAACCCGCTTACAGGCCTGTTGCAAAGCTTAGCAGACAACTATTACTAGTACAGACCTAACTCCTTTGTCTCTTTGGTGGTAACAGGATCTCCTTGATTCTTTCATTTAAGAAAACGAAAAAAAGTGGGAAGGGAAGCAGCCTACCGTTCTTAACGTCAATATGCAAACAGAACTGCCTTGTTCAAATAAAGACATTTTGCTTTCCTTATTTTGGCTGCCTGCTGTAGCTCAGCGAGCCTTCTGCTGAATCAGCACATACAGCTTTCCTGAGCCTGTATGACTTGGAAGGTCACCAATATAATGGGAGCGACTCAAGCTTTCATCACCCAAGGGCAGTGGGTAGCTTCAGCTGCAAAAATCTCATGTGCAACTGAAAAGCTCAGAGAGCTGCTAATTGTAACCTCTTGCATTTATCTTAAGTTTTTCAGCATCAAACCTTGACTGCCATCAACCAGGCTCTCAGAATCTGGTCTGGAACTTGTATCAACTAAACATTTCATTGATACATTTGGTCAGAAAACACAAATATGCAGAAACAAAAAATTCTTGTGGCAACATGCTACTTTCTACAAGCATTAAATTTATGGCCAGATAGACAGACCGCAAACCTCTCAGCACCACATCCTCTGCAGGGGGTGTTCCACTTCATCTGAATGATAAATATTAATGGTGCTACAGAAAGGGATCACTTATAATCAACGGTTAAGGCACTTCTTCGATAAGCAGCGGACACCAACACAAGGGAATATTTAAACTTACAGCATGGACAGTTTCAGCAGAAGAAATGGAGAGGACCCTAAGCCTAAGCCACTAATAATCACCTGGAGAAGTACATTGTAGTGTGTGACTGACAAGCAACCCATTCCCAATTCAGACTAGAAACCAGAAATTACATCTCCCATACTCTGATGATTCCAACCACAAGACTATGCACCACATTGTGTTACCATACTTAGAACTGATCCTGCCAGCTCTTCCCTCTTTGTAGTTGGTGAATACATACATACACACCTAATACATACGTATGCATTTATCTATCTTTGTGTCTATACATACACTTATATTTATATGAAATATTTTATTATATATATTTGTGTATATACGTGTGCACTTACTCGCTTTTAAAGAAAATTAGGCTTAAAGGAGCATCCAGCTGTTGCTTTTTTGCATCTCTGCCTAGAGTTTTGAGTTCTCCTGAACTCAAAACTTAAAATTAAGACTGCTGGAACAATACAAAAAAAGGCATATTCTTGGAATATGTAGTTGGCCAAGTCAGAGCATAGTAAAAATTAGAATTCTTACTACATTGTCGAAAACATTGTCATTCTCTTTTACTGACATCTGTGTTTCTGTCTGGAAAGCTGCTTAAGGATTCTGCTAAAGACTTGCTTTTAAAAGCCCACGTATAGCTGTGAAAAAAAAAATAAAACAGACCTCTTTACTATGTATGTATATGCTTTACTACACAAGTATGTTTCTATATCTGGTTTAGATCTTACAGAAACCCTAAAAATAATGTGTACATATTAAATACTTGGTCATAATGAACAATAAAAAAATTCACTTCCATGTGGTGCCACCTACAACGAGGATAGTGAGAACTCATGAGAAACCTCATGACATCCCGTGCATGGAGTGTATCACAGCTGCTACACACGCAATTCAGTATTAGCACAGAACTAGAATTGCTGCAGTACACAAAAACTGCACCGATATGACAAACCGACTCAGCCATTAGTCCAATGACCGCACAAAAAATTTACAGTATTGAAAGTACCACTTAATATGAGAAATTAGACTAAAATTCAGTGATTGATCTCTCCATGTGTGTTGTTTTCCACACAAATTTGAAAAATGTTTTAAAAATATTAAAAGTGTACGTGTAAAAACTTTTTGGCCCCTCTAATATACACTTTGTTGAGTATTCTGGATTATTTTTCTTATTATCCTCCTCAGGTGTTAATGAATTCTCAATTATTTTAGAAGGGCACTGTCTTAGACATTGGGCAACAGCACCATAGCACTCTGTCTGCGGTAAGCAGTCCAGATTGTAGAGTAGAGAGAAAAGGCATGGTCACACTTCAAGTACATGCAGTCTAAAATACTGGTGTCAGCACAGATGGAAGGAAGGCAGGGACGCCCAGGAGGAGTGTTAAGGAGGTGGAAGTGATCAGCAGAATTTGCACATAAAGGTGAAAATGGAATTTGCAGGATCAGACTGGAGACTGGCAGAGAAAGAAAAAACCAGGCAGGAAAAGACACAGAATTTGAGCCAGGTTGGAAAAAGCCTTTTCTCCCCCACACCCACAAAAACCTTCTGCCTGTGAAACAAATGGGAATCAAAATTAAACACGGTCAGACATTTAGTTGGTCACAGGTAGGCAGGAAAGGTGAATTCCTAGACCTGTAGTTTTATAATAAAATAAACAAACTGTCACTGACAGTATTTTCACTCGAAGTAGGAATATTGGTCCTTACAAAAATAGGTCAGCATCTCCATGCCATGCCCACTCATCCTGGGTTTTATATTGCATTTTGAATCAACTCAGTACAAACATAGTGCTCAAGGTAATCTCCTGTAAATTTCATTTGTATTAAATTCTTTAAGTTCTGAATTGATTTTTGAAAAATAAATTAGTTTGTGCTTCATGCTGTCAAAGAACGGTTAGACAATCTAGTTTGTCCAAACAAATCAGGCAAAAGAATGAATGGTCCCAAGAAAACTGTAACTATTACAGAGCCACGGAAATCTGTGCTGCAAAACCTCCAGAACAGATTAAAGTCCAGTATTGGTTTCCATAAAGAATACACATTTTTTTTGTACATTTTACAGCAGGACAAAGGTAAAA